GCACATATCTGTTAGCGAGATCAGGATTGTACTGTTCATCAAATTGAAAAGATATAAAAATAGAAAAGACTGTGTGCACAAAGGTAGTTCTACTCAAGAAAATAATTTTTGAGTTGAAAGGAGTTTTACAAATACTTTCATTAGTAAGAAGAAAAGTTGTCAACCAGAGAGATAAGGTCCACAGGAATTCAAATTTTAAAGACAGAAATGGGATGAGAAAAAGCATATACACACTATAATTAGAATATGTGTACTGGGTTTATTTAATTCCAGAAATTAATTGATGAATTTCCTTTTATTTTGATGAATTTTCCTTTTCATTTTTTTATGGAATGTCCATATGGTGGGTAGTTACAACACCAAAGTTCAAAGTCTGATTCCTACTCAGGTTAGTGTCTGTGACCTAATGCAAAGGACTCTGCCTCAGTTTTCTCATATGAAAATAAAGCATCCAGGCCAGCATAGTGGCTCACAGCGGCTGTGAGGCTCAGACGGGTGGATAGCTTGAGCTCACGAGTTCAAGACCAGCCTGAGCAAAAGCAAGCAAAACCCTGTTTCTACTAAAAATAGAAAAACTGAGGCAAGAGGATCACTGGAGCCCAAGAGTTGGTGGTTGCTATGAGCTATGGTGCTATAGCACTCTACTCAGGGAGACAGCTTGAGACTCTGTCTCAAAAAAAACGAATAAAATAAGGCATCTAGTGCAAGTATTCATTATCAATTCTTAGTTAATAATCTGACAAAGTTAGGTATATAGCCTGAATTTTGATAAAAATGATTGCCATATTCTAAAATCTTAGAACACATACACACACACATATAGACACATACTCAATGTTAGTTAATAACTTCTCACTAGTGATTTAAAACAGAATGTGGATACTGAATAGTTATCCAGAGTGCTATGGATCAGTGGGAGCACAGTGCATCCCAAATGGCCTGTGAATGAGGGTGACACAGTCCCCTGGGAAATCAGTGTAGGGAGGTTAGAGGGGAGTGCTTCTAGGGTCTGTGGCTTGGTGAAGGAAGCAGGACAGAGCAGAGGTAGAAACAGAGCGCAGACACAGTCATAGTGAAGACTTTAGCGAATCTCAAGTGGAATTTTGAACCATAGACATTCCTTCAGAATTGCCCCAAATTGAGACAAGAGGGTCTTTATATTCTTATATCGATCAGTCATTGGATGTAATAATCTCTTTACAGAAAGGAGCAGCACCCTTGGGTAATGTGACTGTCTTCACTGACAACCAGTGCTTTGAGAGAAGACCTCAGCTGTGACCATTTTGTCAACAACATTCCCAGAATGTGGAACAAAAATTGCTTTAGTTCTGAAGGAGCTGCGGGGGACGGGTTGGCACAACCTACCGGTAGGGGTTGGCACAACCTACCGTGAACTATAGTAAGTTATCAGGGAAGACTTCCTGGAATAAGAGAGATTCTTAAAGATTTAATATGTATCCACATGACAAAGGTGGCTTTGTGTGTGGGGGGTGAGGATACAGCATAAACAAAGGTGTGGAGGGTTTAGGGTGTTTGGCTGGGCGCGGCTGAGGGGTATGGGAATAATAGCAGGATAAGTAGGCAGTGACAGGTTATGTTGAGTAAGGGTGTTCTTTAACCTGCAGATATTTGATTCCAATGAAACATATGAAGGAGGGGGAAGACCAAGTGCAATTGCCTGCTAGAAAAATCATCTCAGCTATCGTGTAAGAGATATCTTAGATATCTTAGAGTATCAAGAGCAGACACAGGATCACTCTATAATTGTCTAGGTGTTAGATGATGTGGATCTAGATAACACCGCCTCTCTAGAGGAAGCATTTAATAATTACACATCGATTGTGTGTTATTTCACATGATATGTTTATTATGACACTTGTTATTTTTTTCTTATTTATATTCTCCTGGGTTCTATAGATTTTATTTTCTATCTGAGAAAAATCATTTGGAATTTCCTTAGAGGGTAAGAGAAAAATATTTGTACTACATAAACATTTATAAGCTCTTCCATTCATTTACAACACTTATTTTTAGTCAGTATGTGTCAAGAACATGAGAAAAGTGTTTTTTTTATTTAAAAAACTTGATTTATACACTATAACTATAGCTATTACAATAATTTTCAAAACAAAATTTCTACAACAGAATGTTTGAAAGAAAGAAAAACAGAAAAACCTAAATTCAACTCAAAAGAGGAAAAATAATAGAAAACATAGTACTTGAAAAGAAAAACCTAGCTTGAATTCCGCCGTTTTGATTTTCAGTTGTGTTTGAGCAAGTCAACTCAACAAAAATGTTGAAAAAATGTAATAGATAATACTTACCTCAAAAGTCATTGTAAGGATTAAATGATTAAACTGTTAAAAAATCATCTCATAATTATAGAATATCATGCAAAACTTAGTATTAATACTCTGAATAATTAGTCACAAAGAGGTATTCTAATTTGGAGGGAGAGAAATGAATGGAGGAGGAGAACATGGAGGCAGCCATGGGCCCAGGACGCTAACTTGACTTCATGTGGCATTACTGGCCCTGGGAACACAGTGCTGGGTAGAGTGGTGATGCATGCAGGGAGAAAAGTCCTGCAGGGCTAGCTTCCCTTTTCAGGCTTCTCCCACCTTCCTTTGAGAGAGTGAATAACACCCTATTACCGAGTGTTTATTTTAACTACTCTTTCACTAGAGCAAGCATTGTTTTAATGAGTTCTAATTTCCCATTTGGTGCCAACGTGAATCTTAGGCTTAATTGCATGAGAAGGTGATGATTGCAAATCTGATTTCTGTTGGGTCGCAGCAGGAGAAAGGGCCAGAACCTCCAACTTTATCCCGGCAGCATGAGAGAACAGAAACCGCACTGAGGGAGGGGTAGGTCAGACCTCCCCTATTCATGTCTCTCTCCCTCTTGGGGAAAAATATTGTACGTTCCTGAACATCAGCTTTCTTTTCTCGAACGCCAGAGGTGTGGAATTAAATCATTTTTACAATTTTGATTCTTAGGGCTCACAATTTTCTGAAGATAAAAAAATGGTGATTTCAGAGTGTATGTGTCACTCTAGCTGGGAAGACGTATTGTTTGATTATAGACCCATAGCACGTGGACAAGAACACAGAATCACAGAGCTGCCAGAGAAGTGGGGACTGCTCATTGAGGGGAGGAGGGCACTGTGAGAGGAGCTAAATGCTCCTTGCTCATACAAATGCCAGAATAACATTCGTGCCTCACACCCTGACACCTACTGCAGATGACAACTGTCCTCATAAGCCTTCCCAAGGACTCTGTCCCCCTAATACTAGGCAAGCCTCACACACATGTATATACACATGCATACACATGTTACACATGTGCGCCCCCCCCCCCCACACACACACACAAAACCACCTAAGGAGAACTGAGAGACATTTTGGAAGAGAACCAAAGCAAATTCTCCGGGAGCCTGGAAAAGGACTAGACTACTTGCCAGTCCTATTGTCAGGCTGTCTGACATCAGCCAAGATTCATATAGTTTCAAGTTTCAGGTCAAAACATTTACATAAGAGTACCCCTGATGTTTAACAGTGGTTTTTCTTGTTTTAAAACTCTTAAAATATTGACCTCCTTGGAAACATTTCTCCTTACACCCCATTGCATTTTATAAATGTCTCTTCTTTGGTTTCTTGAACTGCCATTAAGTACATGCCTGCTCCCCGCCCCCAGCCCTCAGGAGACTATCAACTCTTTAGATCTATTTCTTATCCTCTGTTGTGGTGACATCACTACTATTTGTTAAGAAAATGATTATTATGTCTCCAAGGCACCAATCCCACATGTAATCCATTACAATAAAATGAGTTGTGCTATGAAATGATGCAGATTCAAGCCCCTAATGAGTGATGTATCTTGAAAAGAAATAAGCAGCAGAAACAGACTAGGAGGAGATAACCACACAGGTTGAAAAGTAAATAAATGCACCAGGTTTGGTTGTGATTTACAGGAAGCAATATGCCAACCTTTTAATGCACACAATCATTATTCCCGTGACAGATGCAGAGTTGTCACGATATCATTGAACATCACTGCATCTCTAATTTACGGATTATAAAACTGGCACGCATGATTAGGAACATGCTGCACGTCAGGTGGTGCATTAATGATCAGTGACATAAAAGTAACTCATGTGTTCTTAAGCCAGTTTTGTATTGCTCTAGTTAGTAACAAAGCTCAACTGTGAGACCTGTAAGACTAGAGACTTCATCACTGATCACTGAATTGCCAGCGCTTAGAATTCCTGGAACATAGAAGTAGCATAGTACGTGTCTGTGAAACGAATGTACCACATCACATTACTTCCCTGACATATTTTGGGGTATTTTTTTTCCTAGTACAGATGTTGCTCATCAAAAAAAAAAAAAAAACCAGAAACCTTTACAATTAGGTGTATAGTTGATCAATTTTTATGTCTGCAATGATGTGTTATTTCTATTGATGTCATTATTTGAATTTATTTTTGCTCTTTAGATTCATTACGAAAATCCTTCTAAATGATGCCTTTTCTTTTCTGTCAATGATTCAAACAAAATTTTCCAATTCCCTTCTTCAAGATAATTTGAAAAAAATAATAATTTAAGGAAGGAAAATAAAAACAAGTAGAACTAGGGAAATTTTTTGGAAAGGGAGAGATTGTTGATTTTAAGCCACTGAGTTGGAGGCATTTCTGTTATCAGTTTTATACGTATGAATTCACTGCACCTTCACAACAACAACACAACAACCATAACCCTAACTGTAATTTAACTCACCATCCTCTAAAATGTGCACCGACATCAAAGTCAGCCTGTAAATGCTAAGATTTGAAGACATCTTCGTGGCCTTTTTTGTACTCTTTGTTACAAGCCTAGGCACTCAACCCTATTTGCCCTATTTTGAAGGAGATTCTCATTACCTTTTTTCCACACTTTTCTACTAAAATATTAAGTGGCTAGGTCAAGGGCAGTCAAGCACTACACTGACGTGTGACTCACCTGTAGTTCTGCTTTTCAGTTCCTATGTGGAATCTGTCGTATTGGGAATAGGCTCGGTTTCCCTCCCAGTCCATCAGCTCGATTCTCAGTGTGTACTGCCTCTGACTGGTTATGGCAAAAATGAACTCATTCCCCAGCCAGTATTCACCAGAGGGATTTCCAAAACCCTAGGACAGAAGACAGAGATACGATTGTTACTTTAGAAGACTCTTTTCATGTTTAGCATTAAATATTTACTGAGTAATGATAAAAAACCACGTAAAAGTAAAGATACTTCTTTCACATTTTTATGTAACTTTTCTTTTAACCAATTACTGACTTATTTCAATACTTTCCTGCTATATTTCTTTTCATGGAGGCTTCTAATTCTTATTACAGCTCTGCTATTCAATTCCTTATGGATAAGATGTTCTAGATTAGGTGAATCTGCTTCATGAGTTTATTAAGTTATTTAACAATATTATTATTATTGTTTTTGCTGTTATTATTTGAGTGTCCAATTATGCTACTATAATAAATCTATAGATTACTAGACCCTTGAAGTTTGGAACTTTGTATTCTCATTTTTAAATGTGGACAAGCAAATCTGTACATCCATGACTATTACCTAATCACTTATGATGCTTCACCGGCATGGATCTGGGTGCCGATGCAGAAGGCCATCTTGTAAGAGCTCTTGAGTGAATCTAGCCGACTCCTTTGCATCTGTAGCTTGGCATCAGTATAGCTCTATTGTTCTCTTTGGGGAAGTCATGGTTGTTAACTATTCCAAATAGTTTCTTTGTGGGGAGGGGAAAAAAAGCCCCCTCCCAAACAAAGACAACTCTTAATGTTGGAGATGTTTATGACAGGAAAATAAAGAACCCTAAGAAATGGTTGGCGTTCTAGATTTTTAGTATTCACAATTGCCTCAGAAAGTACTTCTCGGTAATATTTAAGGTTCAATGTAATTCTTAATCTACACGTTTGCCTTACTGAGCATATTGTGATCTCCTTTGATGACAGAAACTGTGTTGTGTTTGTGAATTAAAAACTAGTAGAGAGAGCTGACCTAACCAGGAACTCCATACATGTTAAGTTCAAAGAAAAGAGAATGGAAGAGAGAAGGAAGGAGGGAAGGAAGGAAGAAGTAGGGAGGGAGGAAGGAAGTTAAACAAAATATTACAGCACTTTGCAATTACATTTAGAAAAGTAACCTCAAAACATCATCTTGTTGTAGATGTTATAGAGGCGTCTCAGGGAAACGCCTGAGTGTTCAGCTGAATCATAATCACTTGTGCTCCCATTGCCTCTACCAACCCAGTTACTTACCAAAGGCCAGAAGTGTTTTGAACCGTACTCATTTATGTCAGTTCTGTTATTATAATCATATTTATAATATGTTATGTAAGTAAGTTAAATATTAGTGAGAAATAAGATTTTTATTTATTTTATAAAACCTAACAAATATCTAGCTTTGCTAAATAAAAGCAAATCACTAACAATTTTTGAATTAGATATTGTTGAGACTCTAAAACACTGGGAAAAATAATACAGTTTTTAAAGAATTATTAACTTA